TTGGTGCGGTTTATGGGCTGTTGGCATCATTTGACCGCACCGTATAAAGATATCAAACTTTTTTTTGACCAAAATGCGATAGCTTGACTTGCATGACATCTGGTTTCAACAAGACGGTGCCACGTGCCACACAGCACGCGCAACAATGGACTTATTGAGAGGCGCGTTCGGTTAAAATTTTTTTCACGTACGTCTAGATCGTGCAATTTAACGTCTTTATACTATTTTTCGTGGAGCAATGTTAAATCTAATGTCTATACAGACAAGCCCGATTCCATTTGACGCATTGGAGTACAGCGTTGAAGCATTTATTTGTGAGATACCGGCGGAAATGTTGGAAAGAGTATGCCAAAGTTGGATTAAGCGGTCGGATCATTTGAGGCGTATGAATAATATTCAAGCATTAAATTATATGGACCGTACTATCGGCTTAAATAAAGCATTTTTCTGAACTTAAAATATTTTACTTTTTGAAAAACTATCCTATAGCTCTTAAAAATCACCCTTTAGAATATATAGTGGTCGGTGCTTGGTTTGCGGAATTACAAAGATCACACGCGATTTTTGAGACCACGTTACATTCCTAAGTAGCCACTCTCTGGTGAGTTCTGTGGGTAGAGGTTATTATTTGTTCAAATTTATTCAAAAATGAAGCCGACCATAAGGTTACAGTCTAAGGGGAACTCAATGGAACTAAGATAAATGACTTTTTCGTGACTGAATTGGAGGATGTTGATGTGGACGACCTCGTAAATACCACACATACAACGAATAAATAAATTTTTTTAAGGAAACTTTTGGTGAGCGCATTAACTCGCATCGTGGGCCTGTGGCGTGGCCGCCAAGTTCGAGTGATATTGTGAGGCTATGCAAAGTCTCTGGTCTATGCAGACAAGCGATAGACAATGGACGCCTTGACAGATAATATTCGGTGTGCTAGTGCTGGCTCACGGCCATAATTGCCGCAAAACAAACTCGACAATTGATTTCAAGAGCAGCAATTTATTCGGGTTAGTCCGAAATCGGTTTTAGAACATAATGAGAAACTCTTATCTTCATGACGAAGTTAAATTCTTGGTCATAACATAAAATTGAGTTCGTTTTATTTCTTCTCGAAAATCACATGTCTGACAAAGACACCCTCAATACGAAGAGTATCAATGACTGCGGATACGATCTTTTTTAACGATGAACGAATACTTATTAGTACAAATCTAGATGCACATACAAATATACATACTTATAAATATACATATATGTACATATGTATATAGTTTAATATTTTCGAGTGAGTTTGTTGCTTCTTTTTCGCTTATGGAAAGTTGCTGATTTGGAACAAATTGGTTTTGTAAAAAATTGTAAAAGAAATACTGAAAGCTCATACATACACACATACATAAATATGTGTAGTAAAAAATTTAAAAAAAAAAAAAACTTAAGCAGAATCCAAAGTAAAAATATCCAAAACGAAAGAGCGAGAGAGAGCGTAAAGTCAAAAACTGTGAGAAGGTGAAATTCGTCACAGACGTAAAAAGTGTTTTCTTGTTTTACGATTTAAGTGGATTGTGAATGTTTAACGAAAGGATTACATGAACTTTATTACCCATATATGCATATACATGTATATATGTGTGCATAAGTCATTTTGCACATATTCGTGAATTAGCGAGAGAAGCGGTCCATCCATTCAGCGGAAGACTGACGCGATCTGTGGTCATTTTAACTGCTGACATTCAATGCTCGCGGCCATGGAGCAGTAAATTTTCTCTCGACCGTCAGCGTTGAGATGTAGAAAAAGGCGTATATTTGCGTGAGTGATCTTCATTTCGATGAATGGAATATTTTTTACGAAGTAAGCGTAAGTCCGCCCGTTTTATGTTGGCGTGACAAATTTTAAAGCTTTTAAATATCGAATATTTAACTCAGCAGGAATTGGCTAACCTTAGAAAATATAAATTACAGGTCATAATAAGAGAGTATTTTGAACAATAGCAGAGACTTCTTTGTGTTTCTAAGGTGTTTTATTTTCCACACGTAAAGGGATAAGAAACAGTGGCTCAGAGGGAGTTGCCCATTTTGAACAATGTGAGAATACTTAAGATTCAAAAGAGCCTAAAAAGTCCAAAAACCGACTAACAGACTGTTAAAGAGGGAGGAAGGGTCACCCGGATTTTGTAAAGAAAAATATTTTTCAAAAGGCGGCTTCTCAAACAGAGCTTGTGTACAGCCCGTTGCGTTTCTATTGAGGTTCAGGACATAGAAAATTTCATGTTCTTCATGTAATGACAATGATTTTCGATTGCAGTCCACTATAAGAGGCCGTAGGCTTGAAGTGATTTGGGCCAGCGCTGTTTTGTAGCCGTCATTTTGAATTTCAGCTAATTTTTTTGCCGTTTTAAGATCTCAAATAATACACAAATTTAATAGTCAAAACCGGACGTTTTCACGCCTTTTCATTCTCCCACAAAAAAAAATTGCCTGATTTTTGCCCGATATCAGCGGAGGATCCCCTTAACAAAAGATCAACGACCTCGCCAACGACGATGCTAAAGCGCTATTAAAAACGTAGGAGTTTGATTCAGAGAGCCTCTAATTACTTCTTTTGGCTTCTTAGACATATATGGAGCATCCTGGAAATCATATGTTTTAAAAAAAAAAAACCGACCTTGACGGCAAATGCAACTACTGTGAGAGGAACGATCAGATCGTCTCGCTGCCTAATTAAGCTGGCTGTCACAAGAGTTAACAAACGAAGTACACTACAAGCACAGTCAGCAATAAATACGAATACTGGAGTCACTCACCAAAAGTAAGTCAATAGGAATTGAGTCCTCGGAAGAAAGTTGGTAATTATCTGTTTGACCGTTAGACACCATCAACACGATAAACAAATTTGACGAGGTCCTACAAATTAAACTATTTCACACGCTGATAGAATCGAAGTCAGTCTAGCGGCTAAGTTGCAGCCTCAATTAGAGGAAACTATCCGGCGGCCGCCGGGTGGTTAGCATTGCTTACTGCCATGCGGAAGGCTCGGGTTCTAATTCTAGTACGACCAACATCCAAAAGTTATAGAAAATTAATTTAAATAAAAAATTAAGCTAAATATTCTAATTGCGGTCGCCTATCGGCTGTGAATGTCAACCCTTCCGAGTGTATTTCGGACATGAAATAAAGGTTCCTCATAAGAAAGAACCATCAGCCGTTCGGAGGCGGCTTAGTATGAACTGTAGGTCCTTCCATTCGTTCGAAAAACATCAAGACGTAAAACCACAAAATGGATGTGGAGCTCGGCCGAAAATCGCTTCAGCGGTTACAAAGCCATTGACTCGGCCTACTCTGAAAAATGTGTGTTTTAGCTAATCATAGAAAGAGAGAGTTGCACGAGCATTCCACAAATTTTTAATGGAATGGCCTTGATGTCAACTGTGTTGATCCCCAATATTTTAGCTAAGTCTTCTTCATGATTAAAGCGGAATCAAGAATTTCGCGTCAGTCGTTTCTTCTTTTCGTCGTTTGAATCTTAATCTTTCGTAGGAAGTGGAGGTGGAGGTTTTCCCCTACGTCTGCAACCATGAGCAGGATCTCTAACGATCTGGTCAGCGTGGTCGCTGCCACTAAATTAAACTATTTCACTCTCAATGTATCGTTTCATCATCCATCTGCAGAATTCTCCATCGGGAGAATGTCGAAAATCGCTTCAGCGGTTCAAAAGATCAATTATCTTTATATATATTATTTCATGTAAATGTGCACGAATTCTTCGTCAAGGCTTTCTCTCGAAAATTCCTAATACCGTCCCTTTGGATCTCGCCAACCTCCACATTTGTTGGAGGTTGATAATTGACTAGTAAAGAGAGATGCAGCTTAGCTTTCGACTATAGAAATAGAACCAGTGATCCCACAGTGACTCCTCGTCGGATCTTAGAACTTACCACTGCAAAGTTATGATTGCCAATAGTGAGGTGAAATCCCAAGCCCGACAGAAAAGATAAAAGACATTTCGCTTTGTGCTCGTTTAATACCGAACTGAATTGCCTCACTTCCTTGCTACTCTTGGAGAGGTCCTTCCCGATTTAGCTTAGTTGTTCACCACTAGGCAAGTATGTATGTTAAAACCCGGCTCGTCTCAGTTTCTAAAGTGCATAATCAACTTAAAAAGGTTCGTTCTAGAGCTAAAATACAATACATATCTTCTACATAAGCAGGTGGGCTAAATGAATTCTGATTCTGAGAAGTCTTCCGAGGATGTCGTGCGGAAACTCTCCACATGAAGGGCATACGTTGGATATGCTGCGGTGGAGGCTGGATAGGTAGGGGAAGACCTAAGTTGTGCCAAGGTTACGCAGGTCTTTTGAGGCACCTTGAGCTCGTTGTCTGCAATAGGTGGTGGTTTTACTCTGAGCATGTCATTCACTGGAAGGGAGCCTTGACTCCTGGTGAATGGCGTTCAGTGCCTGTCTCGACGCCGTCCTGTCCAGCGGTTGTTGTAGGTATTGCTGGTTGGTGTTTTTCATATCTTTTGATGTGCTTAGGTGCATAGGTTCAGCTTCTATTAGGTGCATATTGGGTACTGCTTGTACAGCAAAGCATTATGCTCCTTATCGGGGTCACTCCTCACGACAAAGCGTCACCAATGGATGTTTAAGTTTCAAAAGTATTATGGCCGCTGCTGAACCTACTCGGCGAGAGCGTCGCTGAATTACATACATATATTTTTTTGTTTAAAATTTTCTTTCGCCTCTTAGTCTCCAACTCTAACTTCCAACCTACCGCCCGGAAGCCGAAGCACAGTCAACTACACGACCTCAGCGGCCACCACTCGCATGTCTGCTGAGCATATCGTAATCTTTTGTTTACTCAACAACAATTAATCTCGTAAATTTTCACACTTTTCATTAATAAATATTATGTCAAAATAATCACACCGTACGAGTGACGTTAAAAGGTGCCAACACAGCGTGAAGTCAAAGAACAAAGCAAAATATGCGCCGAAATGTAATGTCAAAAGCGAAAATAGAAAAAATGAAACATCGTGAGTTTTTTGAAAACACCCCGAAAATGATTAATCGTGTTGATGGCGCTCGAGGCGACGCGTTGCAAAGTGGCCTCATCGCTGGCAACTACAGCGCAGCAAAGTGTGATAAAACTGCGTACAAAGTGAGTGAAATGAAAGGCATAATCATTAAGCGAAGAAATGCTTTATGTAAATATTAAATTTCCGAATATTTTTTTTTTTTATTTTGATAAATTTTAATTCGCTGTAACTGCGCGTTAACCCCTTGCCAACACCACCATGTGTGGAATTACAGCGCTCGTCTGTATGTATGAGTCCTGGAAACTACAACTTAATTGAATTATAAAGTCATACTTTCTGCGCTCACTCGGTGGGTATGTGACTATGTGAGTGTGTGAGTGTGTGAACGCGCGTTTGTGTACGCTGTCAGACATTTGACAGTCGCTGTCAACCATGACATTTTGCCTTTATATTTGTATGCGCGCGCATGTTTTCGACTGCGAAAAATTAGTCATTTAAATGTCATTATTATCTACTTTTGTTGTAGTTTTGGATTTTCGCGCAAAAGGTAGCAGCTACAAAAACAAATGCAAACATATACCAAGTGCCCAAGTGCAGTTGTACAACTGTCATTATGATTGTAACTCAATTTTCTCTGGCGTCCCTCGGCGCTCTTTCGATGAGAGAGTCCCATAAGTCTAATTAATGATGTTCGGAAATCAAAATGTCAGTTAAAGTTTTCAACGCGCCGCATTCACCGCTGGCGCTGCTGTCAGGGAAATTAATGATTTGTTCAAAATCACGAAATGCCAAAAGATTGTTTGAATTTATTCTAACGTAATAAAAGGGAATTAAAGTAAACATATGTACATATTATATTAATTAAAAATACATATAAAACTTGGTAAAATTTTTTTAAAAACAAACGAAAAAATATTCTCAAAAATTTTTAAAATCGTACTCAATTGCTTTGCAAACTAGCTCCTCTCTAGTTCGAGGAGGAAAAGGACAGAGACGACTTTGTTTTACGCAGTTTCATATGAAAGACCTTCACTACCAAGTTCTGTATTCCGCTCGGAGTCACTTGAAAACTTCTGTTCACCTCGTTCTGTATCATGTGGCTGCAAGCTAACCTCCTGAATATATACCAGTTGCTTCTTAAACTCTCACTCTTGCAACGTACTTCTCGTCGGTTTAGTTACGCTTACGCCTTCTTCTCTTACCTGGCTCATAAGACACCCTCTGCCATTTTGCTTATTTCCATATATAATTGACGCTTTATAACCTCTCACGAGATTTTCGACCGTACCCATCTTCCACTTTGTGGTGTTCTGCCATTAAATATGTCGCTTTCAAGCGGTTGGTAGATTTTTTGGCCAGAGTTTTTATTTCTTGAGAGAAATACACTCGGAGAGGTTGGCATCCCTTACCATGGTGCGACCACAAGAAGAAAATTAAGTTCCAATTACTGCCGTTGTTGTTGATCCGGCCATGAATCAGGCCAGTGCAGTTCCAACGCTAAGACTAATGCGGTCGCCAATCGTTTTTTTGGTGGACATAATTTAAGCTCCCATTCGGCTTAGAGGAGTTAGAGTTAGGGGAGGTAGAGCATACTCAGACTTAACCGCGTAAATTATGGTTACCTTTGCTGTCGATACGGATAGAATATCTCTTATACGGCACTCTCCCACGGGCCTTGGAACATCTTAATAATCTCATTTAACCGTTACAGCGAGAATTGCTCTCTGCATTAGATGATTTTGAAGAACTCCAACGTTCTCCTCCGCTACTGTGTTATTTTCTCAAAGAATGCTGCTACGGTCAGTGAGCGTTGATGTTATGAACTGCTCAAGCCTGATGTTTGGTTGATCAGCGTCGTTTTTATATTTTAATACCTTAGCTGATGCTGACGTCTTACTTTCAGCAGATAACGGTTTTTTGGCGTAATTTCATTCTATATACGGTTTTCGAGTGTTGGATACGTGGAAATGAAGTGTCACCGTGTCGCGTTAAGCACGCCCAGCTTTTTACTATTTTTTTTTTTTCTTAGGCAAAGCCAAGTTTTTTCTATATCTTTGTGCAGTTTTTTTTTTTCTATAAATCACTTTGGCCTTCAAACTCTCCTTAGTGGGGTTTGGTCGCCGGGCGACTGCAGTTGGCGTCACTCGGAAACCGTAGAGAGGGTACCTATGGTATTTACGTGCTCTCATGATTCAAGTTTACTTCACCGTAAGTAGCCACATCTGCCACCAACATATCGCCGGATATCCCAGGCAGCTTCTTTCCATTATCGACCACTATGTTGAGTTTCTTCATGGGCACACTTCTAGCGTCAGGTACACCATTATCACCGCTCAAATATATATCCGCCCAGCCTATTCTTGCCCATAAAACGCAAGAAAGAGAAGAAAGAGATAATGGATACATGCCTTCGGCAAGACCCGCTATAGGTACCAGTCTGTGTGCATGGTCACTCCCATGCCGGCACCGACGCCTATTGTCCAAACAGCAACCGTGTGGAAGAAACAGCTAAGCGGATTTACGCCACCTACAAAGTATACTTCGAGCTGTGGAAATGATATTAGGTCATATAACACTACGACCATATCAACCCAATAGGATCAGTTGGATATATCGAAGGTCCATGCGAGGTAAGTACGCAGAGAGTTTATACCGTCTAAAAAATCACTTTGGTGCATCTAGGATGAGTTATGAAATTCATCACTTAGATACCGAGGCAAAGTAGGACTTCACACAATCATATAAAGGACTACAGACCTCTCCAAACAGTCCCAAGTATCAGAGAGCAGAAATACTACGAAATATATAGTTAAATCTTCGAAGAAGTTTGACACAAGTTGCGTTGCTTTTTAAAGAGATTTCCAATAGGCGGTGCTATTATGAACAGTTTGCTTTTCCGGTAGATGTCACTCGTGAAGCTGCCATTTTTGACATTCGACGTCAGCAATAAAAAGTGGAACAAAACGCGCTGCAACAACGCATTCAAATTATTTAAATTCTCTATAAATATGGTGAAAATCTGGCAGAGACGGTACGTACCTTTGGCCTTTCACCTTTTCGGAGTGCAGTACAGAAATTGTAGGTGCACGTCGCTCCAGAACAACTGAGATTGTTGCTTTAGACCAAAGCATTGAGCAAAACCCCGGCTAATTCATTTTTCGTCAGGCTTTGATATTGGGCATAAGGCTTAAAAAGTGCAGTTAACCCAAAAACTCAAGCCGGCCATTCATCAATAACCTCGTGTCTTTGTCGCTGATTGGATTCTTGAAATGCATAAAAATGATACGGAAATATCAACTAGACTGATGAGGCCCGTTTCTACCTCGACGGCTATGTCGCTTAGTAAAACTGTTACATTTGGGGCTCGGAGAACCCTCTCCATCCTCAATGTGTAACTGTTTGGTGAGGTTTATACTTCGGCGGGCTCATCTGACTTTACTATTTCGAAATGAAGTGGATAGCGCTATCGAGAGATGATGATAACTGATTTTTTTTTTTGGCCGGAATCGGATGGTATTGATCTGGACAATGTTTACTTTCGACAAACAACAAAACCGGACTGTGCTATCTCTCGAAGAGGCTATCACAAACGGCCAGCAGCGATTCAGGATCTCAAAGATGAAATTCGTGAAGCGATTCAGGGCGTACAGTAGCCACTTGGCAATAGAAAATTCCGTAAAAAGGCACATTGAAATAAACATCCGATCCGATTATCTCAAAATATGAAATTTTTCTTTGAATATGTATATTACGCCTCTTATTGTACACGAGCATTTTTACGAACTTTGCACGCAACCTAAAGTGCAAACCTGCCCCTCCCGCCGTGTCTTATGATTGTCAATTTTCATATCACATTCTTAGTCTTTGAATAAATAAAATATTCAAGTATCTCTCTACTGGTACATTGTCTTAATAAAATATTTTTTGTATTTCATTTTTCAATTTCAATACTCAAGAAAAGTGTTTCATTTCGGCATCCTTAAAGTCTTTTGAAAACCACATTCGCATAAATCCATTTAAATCGAAACAAATGCTGTTAGATCTTTTGAAATAACAAGATTTTCTCCTTCACCAAACTCAAATACATGCACACACACGCAAACACAAATTCACTTAACCACGAGAGCACTTAGGATGCAACTTGTAAATCACCACCGAAGGAAGGCATTTTCTTGCAAACAGAAAATACATATTTTACACTTACAAAATTGAGCGATTTATAATTCATATCGAAATCATTGCTTGAAAATATCAAAGTGAATGAATGAATGACCCCGTTTTTTCCAAAAAAAAAAAAAAAAGGACCTGCAAAGCGTATTCCTTCACGCAAGGACATATACACACAAACATGCAATATGTGAGCTCATATGTGCATATTAAATTTCAAAAAATCCAATATGCCAATAATATCAATATTGCGGACATGTAAAGTAAACACGTACACGTACGTACAAATGAATATCCTTAGCATACACACCATTCATACATACATATGCACTTATAAGGATATTCGCTGAAATGTTCCTATTGAGAGCGCACGTATGCGCCGCAAGAAAATGTCTATATTTGTTTTGAAGAGTAGGAGTGAGTTGAATTCGAAATGTTTGGTGCAGTTTTAAATTGATTTTTATAGCCAAAGCAATTCATATGACTACTCGTATACTTGTATGAGTATGAATGAAAGGAGACAGCAGGATATACACGATTTTTCCAGTGCCTACAATTTAGTAAATTGATTTGGAATATTTTTTATTGATATGAAATGTGTTTATTTGAGGAGAGCGCAAATGAACAAATTTCATCAATAAATTGATTGTTCTGTTGGCTTCTGCTCTCTGAAAGCACGCAACAGCAAATCGGTAAAGAAAAGCTTTGAAGTTCCTCACTGACATCTCCAAATGAAAATATTGGCTTTCGGACAGGTCGAAGAAACAGTTTGTAGAATGAGAACTGCCTTGTCGCTGTAGAGAGATTGCAGGCTGCCGACGATCTAACGTTCCGATCGACCACTACACGTACGGAGTGGGACAGAGCTGATAAGGGAAGCAAGATGCATATGCAGACAAAAATAAAAAGAAAAGATCTAATATGAAAATGGAGATCTTGAGAAGATGGTAGCTCACACTGGTTGTTCTAAAATTCAACGAACAGATGCGGCGCCTTACAGAGATTTAAAGACTCAACGCATATAACAAAGGTAGTAATCCAGTGACTGCTGCCCCGAGTATACTGAATCTATGAAGGAAAGACATGTCCAGCCTGCTGAATGGTAGTGAAACGAAACATCGGGGATGGCGAACACAATTCCGCAATCGATAACGATGGAACAGCTTACGCCCGCTTGAGGTACATCAAAGCAGCGGGAGTCGCTGGATTACCGGTCAAGCAATTCAAATATGGCTTTAGCATCAGCTTCTTTGCAAAATATGGGCGTATAAGAACATGAAACCTAAATAAGTCACGCCCAATCCACGAATTTGTCTAAAAGACTCAAGCCCACCGTCCATAAACTGATTGGACTTTATCAGTCTGACTTAAGATCTGTTTAAATCGCCATTGAACAGATATTCACCATGCGCCAAACCTGAGAAAAACCAGTGAAAAGAGGATCGACACACACCACATGTGTCCTTCAGCAACACGAAACTTCTTATATGCCGCCATGTTTGAGTTCGGTATTCCCGCAGAACTTATACGGCTTTGTAAACTAACGTTAAGCAACACTAACAGCTCCGTC